GGATAAGCAAAAGGTTAAGTGTGGGGGAATTTGATAGACCATTATTTGCACATGTTTTGACCACCATTCTTGAACCGTTTGAGAGTCGATTCTCGTGTTTTAAGCCAATTTCACGCTAGGTTGTTCATTTATGTCATATTTTAGGACTTGGCGTGGACATAGAGGCGTGGAAGCGAGTTTCGGGTCAAAAAGTGGCGAGTTGGAGCTAGATGAGCTGGAAGGCAAAAATACCCCGTCACGCACTAAAATACCCGGGTAAAGCTATTTTGGAGGCCGGGAGAGCAGAGGGGGACCCGCCCGTGGCGGTTAAATACCCGATCGGGTATTCTGACCCTCGAACGGGTATTACCCCCTTCCCTATGCGCTGCTTTTTGAAAATACCCGATCGGTCCACAAGAATACCCAACCGGGTATTTAGGCCGGGTAGCGTGATCTGCTCCTTTTCAAGCAAAGTTGGCCTCTTTTGAGAGCGATCCGAGTTTTAGAGAAAGAAAGCAGAAACCTAGAGAGAGAGAGCGACGAACAGAACTTCCAGCTGCCCTATATCTTATTCAACACCCTTGGAGCTCGGTTGAACCTTGGAGAAGTGTCGATTGATTACCAGAATCTAATTTTCATCCTTCACAGATTGATTTCCGCATCTGAAGCTGATTTATCTTCTCTCTCTATGGAGTAAACTCTCTCACTCACCTGGGTATGAAGAACCCTAGATTTGTATGTTAGGTTTGGTTGTATGAACCAAAGTACATGTTCTTTGACATCGATTATATTCAATTGAGGCATGATTTTCTGAATTGCATGAATCCTGATCAAATTCCTGTAGTTCATGCTTTGACCTAGAAAGAGAATATCTGCCTAGGTTGATAGAGCACCCTTAATTGAAGGTGGTGAATTGACGACTTTAGTCGCGGAGTCAATTCACTATTCTGTATTGGATTTACGACAGTAGAGAAGGTTTGGTACGTTAGGGCCTCAGTTTGTTTACTCCAGTGGAGGTTAGTCGCCCGCCTGGTATTCAGATTGAGAGGGTCTGGAGACCTTTAGTCGAGACTTCAGACTGAATAAGAACCTTCCGCAGCATAATTATCATTGAATCTGGACTTGGTGAAGCACAACTTGGCTTAACTGCAATATAGGGGGAACCATATCTAGGTGACCTCTCTCAAACTTGAATCACAACTTTTACTGATTGTGTTTGTTAGTTTAGTTGAAACTTCACTTCAATTGAACCGCTAAATAATAAGAACTTCACGAAGTAGTCATCACACCTAGGACCCGGGTTGACAATTAAATCTAAAACCACTATACTACGCATTAGTAAGTGGTTACACTTGGCCACTTTCTAGTGTGACAGCACAGGCGAGTCGATCACAATTGAACCCACTCCAACCTAATTCGATCCAATCAAAGCGGCTTGAAACCGACTTTAGCATTTATAAATTGCTTTTTTCTTCTTCTTTTGTTTGGGAAGACAATTGAACACGAATCTAAGATTTTGACGAGTGTTGTATTGTGAGCGAGCTTTATCCACTTTTGTAGTTGGCAGGTTGGACTTGGACCAAGTGTTAATTTGTTAAAAAAATGTTCAAAGCGAGTTGAACACGTTGTTGACCAGTTTTAGATCGAAAGAGAGTTTTGTACGCTTTAATTTTTTTTATTTCTCATTTCCCTTTTTGTTGAGAATGATAATTGAACTCTAACCCATCGTTGACGCGTTTCGTATCGAGAGCGATTTTTATCCGCTTTTGTAATTGACAGGTTGGGTAAATTGTGAATTTGTTAAACCTGGGTCGACCCGGTCAGAGCAAGTTGAACGCAGTGTTGAGAGTTTGGGATCATGAGCGAGTTTAATCTGCTTTAGTATTTTTTTTAACTTTTTCCTTTTGGTTGAGAATGATAATTGAGTCCAAACGCATGGGTATACAACCTAATTCGACCCGACCAAAGCGTCTTGAACCCAATTTTACAGGTTTTCGGCGGGAGCGAGTTTTATTTGTTTTTGTAATTGGCGTGTTGTGTCATGTGTGAATTTGTCCAAAACTCGGACCAACCAGGTCAAAGCAAGTTGAACCTGGTGTTGACGAGTTTTGAGTCGGTAGGGAGTTTTAGCTTCATTGTTTTTCATTTTGCTTTTTCCTTTTGTTTGAAAAAGACAATTGAACCCAAATCCATGGGTATCCAACCTAATTTGACCCGATCAATGTGAGTTGAACCTCCTCAAACCTGCAACCAGTCCAAATAATTCATAAAGGAGAACCACGATTACCTCAAACCCAAAAAAAGAAAGCCATATAAATTGAAACATTAGCGTCATGAAAGAAGTTTAAACATAAATAATATATTCGACGACCCCTCTACCTTATGCAAGTCCATCGACCATATGCTATTGTAAATAACAAACCTATGAAAAGAATGATTAATAATGAAGTAATATTACTTTCACTTTTGGGTCAACATTAAAACTATTATGTTTAAAATATTTATCGTTGTGAAACGCGAAGCGATAGCGAGCGGGATTTTGCTAGTTGCTTATCATTTATAAGTTTGATAACTCGAATATGGGGTCTGAAGGAATAGTTTACCTTACGGTTAAAGGTGTACATGAGTTGGTGGTCCGAGTTTAGTCATTTTAATCACCTGATCCATACATTACGATTTTGAAAACATTAATCCCAAACCCACCCTAAAAACCAAGAATCCTGCGGTTTGTTTATAATTGGTTTGTGTGGATGATACTTTTAAGCAAGGATTGAAATACCGTACCATACCAGCGGTTCGACCAAAAAAACCTTCTATCGGAGGTTAAACCGGTAGACGGTATTTAGCGATATGAAGTGGTTGAACCACGGTTATATTACAGTTTTAGCATAAAATATCATACCTCTGGCTTTTTCGGTACAACCTCCGGTATGGTATTTCAATCCTTACTTTTAAGTAAAAGCTCAACCCAACACAAAAAATGCAACTATTTTCACCATAAAAAATGTAATATAACTTATTAAATTTCAAACAAATAAAACAAAGGGAAAGTAACAAAATGCATCGATGTTATTTGGATCTTAAAGAAATGCAATATGCTTCAATATATATATATATATATAGTTTTTCCATAAATGTTTACTGAAAGAAACTAAATAAGTGAACACATCAATAGTATGCTCTAAATTTGAAACGAAATATAATTAATTAAGTTTTTCATAAAAGGTTATAAGCCAACATATCAATAGTATGTGCTCAATTTGAAACAAAAATAATATGTGAAGCATAGCTTATATTGAATCACGTTTAAATTTCTATTTGAAGAATGCATTAAGTTAAAGAGGCCATGAGAGAAAAATATGACAAAATATCTTAATTTTTTTACAAACATGCCTATATACAACACAATATGTTTTGGATACGAACATTTATCACAATAGTTGGAACACGAATTGGGTCGGGTTCTACGGGTTGTGTAACACAAAATGCGCACCCAATCTAAAAGATGTGGGTTGTACAAAATAAAGCACTCACCCAACATTAGCTAAATACGGGTGAGTTGGGTCGGATTGAGCAGGTGGATTGGTTTACGAGTCTTTTTGTTCACACTTATTGATGGTGACTTGCTACTTGAACTTGTGGGAGGACTTTTGGTGCATTTGGAGACACTTACTATTTTCGATTTTAATCGAAATTGTTAGGTAATTATTAGTTTTTAGCTGGCTAAATTACACGTTTGGTCACTCAAATTATACAAATCTTTCACGTTTGCCACCCGAATTACTTTTCTTTCTTATTCGCCACTAACTTTACGAATCGTTTCACAGTTGGTCACGGGCCCCCGTTAAGTTTGTCCTACGTGGCAGTCAACTATAAAGTTTGACCGTTAACTAGATGATGTGGAAATTATAAATAAAATAAATAAAATTTTCTTTCCACCTCATCATTGCACTTATTTTTTCTATATAATTTATCATATTAATAATTTAATAAAATTTGATAAATTACATAAATTTTTCTTTCCACCTCATCATTGCACTTCTTTCCACCTCATCATTGCGACACTCAACGGTTTATGGTCCCTCTTTAATCCGATGTTCGCTTGGCGCTGATTGTTTCCTTTATTAGATTTGCCCATTTTTGTAATTTATTAAATTTTATTAAATATTAATATGATAAATTATATAGACAAAATAAGTGCAATGATGAGGTGGAAAGAAAAATTTATTTTGTATTTATTTTTTTTAATTTCCACATCATCTAGTTAACGGTGAAACTTTATAGTTGACTGTCACGTAGGACAAACTTAACGGATTGTAACAGCCGGTGACCAACCATGAAACAATTCGTAAAGTTAGTGGCGAATAAAAAAGAAAAGTAATTCGAGTAGCAAACGTAAAAGATTTATATAATTTGAGTCAAATTTAGCCGTTTTTAGCTATTAAGAGAAACCAATAAGCTTATAAAATAGATTTGAATTCGGTTAGAACCAAATAACCGAAACCGGCGCTATGAGAGAGTGAGATTTGATTTAAAAGGATCGCTGCCGTTCCGGGTGATTGGATCTGATATCTTTGCTGGTCCGTTGTTTCCGGAAGGGGAAACTGGAGCGAGTTCCTAAGCTACTATCTCTCGGAATCCAGTCTTAGTTGTCAAATCCAAGCTTAGCTAGCTCCGATGACAGCTTGAGATTCTTCACCCACCACCAGAGAAGAATGAGATTCTTAAATACTGCGGCAAGCAAAAGGAGAAGAAGCCAGCGCTTGTGGCTCTGCTGGGCCTGGCCCACCGTAGAAAAAGATGACCGTTGCCTTGCCATCTACTTTTTCGAAACTCGAACGTTGAAGAAGGAACAAGCAGCAGAATAATATATTATATATATAAGCGAAGCCATCTCCCCTCCAATTCACAGCAATGTAAAATTCATTCTGTTTCCAGCTCCTCTGAATCCCTCCCACTCCCGGCTTCATAGATAACCAAATCAGCCGCAAACTGAGAGCCGCTCTGCTCTTGAAGGAAAGATGGGGATGGTAGTGGTGATATCGCTGCCGCTCATATTATTCTGTATTCTCATCGGCGTCGGTTGCTACTTCCTCGGACGAAACAAAGGCAGACAGGACATCCGTACCAATCCTCAAGTCTTCGGGATTCCCACTCCTCCACCTGGCCTTGGTGCAAATAATCCCGCTTCGCCGCCGCCTCACGCCAAGCCTGACGACAACTTGGGCAATGTCTGAAAACTCATCTCCTCTGCTAATGCTATATCTATATATATCCCCATCTATACCGTACTCTCTGTTTTGCTTGCATAGAAAATCTATCTCTGGCTCTGCTCTACCCTGTATGTAAAGAAGGGAAGTGGCGCTGTGGGTTCTTTTCTTTCTCCATCTTTTTTTGTCTGTCACCGCAGCCACACCACACCTCCCTCCATGGCTCGATTTTGTTGTAGCATTCAATTTTTTTTGCTGTCAAATCTATATATGTGTGCCACAGCAGCTTCTCTTCTAGATCCGCCACAGAATCATCTTCTTTGGATAGCATGCAATTGAGATTGATACCAGTTCACAAATATACCAAACCAGATTTTATATAAGACATGGAGCAGGCAACACATAATTTTAAAAAGCCAGAATTTATCAGTTCATTATAATTAAAGACTTAAACCCAATTCAGTCATAAATGCTTAATCCAAAAACAAATATCCACTACATCCCACCACCAACCATGCAAACTTGGCTTTATCTGTTAATCAAATTAGTCAGATCCACAAACTAAGCCAAAGGAAGGTAGATTCGGAAGGTGGAATCTTTGCTGCGTATAGGGACCCTGCAAACTGGACATTTCATATTATTATAATGCATGGTGTCGTTGATGCAAATCTTGCAAAAGACATGGCCGCACTTGGTGGCTGTTGGCTCCCTCATCCTCATCATGCACACAGGGCAGATCAGCCACGGGGCCGCTGCTGCTGCTGTTGAGTTTCCCAGTTGCTCAGTAGTTGCCCCTGCTGGTGTGTCTTCCTGCACATGTACCCATGATTGAATACTTCAACCACAAAAGAGCAGGTAAGTAAGAGTGGAATCAAACACAACTAGTGAATGAAAACAAACCTGGACGTTGGAGGCGGCCACAGTCCGAGTTGCTGAACTTCCACTGCCTTCTCCAATATTGATGCTCTTGTTTCTGTTACTGCTTCTTTGACGGGTTCTCCTGCCCTGTCGTAGGGGAAAAGATCATAGTGATCAAAAACTGAAATGTGATGATCAGCTTTAATGTTCTTACTTCACTAGAGGGTGTGGCGGTTTCAATGTTACCTCAAATGGAGCTTCATCACCAAGAGCACTATTTTCCCCTGCTTCACTCGGAACTTGTTCAACAGCAACATTATTAGTGGCTTCAGCTGCAGCTTGACCAACATCAATAATGTTGCTGCCAATTTGGGGCGGCTGGTCGGGCGCCTCCAGGCTAGGTGGAAGGTTCAGGTCCAGGTTCAATCGCTCCATGTCTGTCCCAAACTGTCGCTTCCTCTTGCCATTACTCCTCGAGTTTCCTTCCACATTCTCTGTTGGGCGGTGGCTCATGTTGTGGATTGCTGCCAATAATAACAATAACAAGTCTACTGAGCATGAGAAATCCAAGATTGATTTGTCATTGAGTTCTGGCATTATAGATTTGAAATAGCTTATTAGATTTTATTATGGATTTTTACTTTATTAGATTTTTTTGTATGGAACACAAATTATCTTCATACCCTTGTATAATTAAATTTCTAATACAATTCAACTTTTCCATTAAACACGGTAAAGAGAGTGATATAAGATCCATAATAACCTTCTTCTAACAACTCGAGTTATTGTAACTAGTTGGTTTATGACATGGTATCAGAGCTGGTTTGACCAAGTGGTCGTATGTTCGAATCTCCATGATCCCCAATATTAAGAGTTGGTTAAAGCACAAGGTATGGTGATCGCATGTGCAAACTTTAAGCTCATCCATGCGTACAAACTATTGATACTTTGAGGACTAATTCTACTACATACATAAGAAGGATCATAGTTTGAAATAAATTAACAACTAATTCAGTAATGCAGAGGATCTAAATTCTTTAGCCATTACTCTTGATATGGAGAAAATTAAGGAAATTCACGGACGAAGCGAACTAATGCAGATACTCGGGCAAAATGGGGAAAAAATGGCGCGAAATTATACAACAGGTATGGTGGGAGGAATTTAGACCGCTCATCTGAATCTCACCTCCAACCTTGAGAATTAGTATGTTCATGGGACACATGGATGTGAACCTTTAAAATCCATGAATGCCACATATTTGGTACCTCGAAAAAAGTCAAGCAAACAATGGACTTTGAGACAAATCCATAATACTTAAGATTTAAGTGGCGAATCCAACAAGCAATCATTACAATCAAATCCCTAACACAAGGAACTAGGGTTCTTCATACCCAAGTGAGAGAAGGGTTCTACTCCATAGAGAGAGAAGAGAAAACAAGAATCGGATTAGTCATACTCATAACGATGAGGATAATCTGCTCCGGGACGATGATTTTCACTCCTATGACGATCTCCAAGCTCGATTCGATGAAATCCAGCTCTAAGACAGCTTCTAGGATGTGTTCTTCGTACTTTCTCTCTCTAGGGCTCTGTTTTTGCTCTCAAAACACGATTCTCCCACTTCTGGCTCGGAATAGGCTCTAAAACAGGGTTTCTCGACTTGCACGGCCAGGGTGCACGGCCGTGCACATCACCATTCTGGCCGTGCACCCTAAAACGCGCCGTATCATTAAATTCGACCCTCAGGCTTCTTGCACGGCCAGGTGCACTGCCGTGCGTGGCCAAAGTTGACAGGTACAACAAAACGGCAGCAAGAATTTGTTTTTTACTTTTCTAAATCCCCTCACACCAAAACGATGCGACCGGTTGAACCTGGTTCAATCTGTGCATCTAATGAAATCGACGTGACACCACTGGTAATGACCGGAATAATCGACTTATAAATTCTAAGAAAAAAAAATTTGTTTTCATGAATTTAATTAATAAACAAGTTAATTTATTATTCGTTTTTTGAATTTAATAGTTAAAAGTTGATGGTATTGGTTGGATTGTAAGTGAATTATCTACAAATATGTTTTGTATATGATTAAATAGTTCGGATATTAATCATTTTCACATTTTTAAAAATCGGCATGAACCGACAAAACATTTTTGTACCACCAGTCGTACTATTCCACTTGTCAAACCAGCACAAAGATATAAACTGGTTTGACTTGTAACTCAAAATAGATTAGGCCATGCATACATGGTTGGAACAATGAACCCCCAGCTCCTAACCCGGGGCTTCGCCCCAAGATGCTGACTCGTTATATGGTCAGTGAGATCCCGTGACTTCTAATCAATGAAAGAAATATTTCCCGACTTCGCTTACTCTAAGTTTACAATCACATACCACAATCCAAAATCGACCAACTCGCTCGTTTAGACATAAAACACTCGAACTGGTCAAGCCCACACATCAAGCTCAAATATGTCTTTCGCTCAATCAATTTGTTTTTGTACGTTCATTTGTTAACCATTAATAGTTAAAGACGATAAAACCAAGTAGGTTCAAATGATAGATACGTTATACACAGATATCATGTTCATGAAAAATATACAACCAACTAAGATAGCGAGACAAAGATAGTAAATAATGTTGGTAAAATTACATCATATCGGTTGGATGTACCAATCAAATAGATTAATTAAAAATAAACCATATCGCTATAATAGAACCAAGTAATTGCTAATGACAATAAAAATAAGAAATCACGTTATTAATCTCAACATGACTTCTGAAGATGAAAGAAATAGTTTCCGACTTTGCTTATTCTAAGTTTACAATCACTGGCACCTTAGATTTAAATAGAGAATATCGTAATATCAACCATTCAAGCTAAATTCACAGTATGTAACAGGAACAAAACCACAATTTTTTGTTCAGAGGAACTTTCTTTAAACATCAATTGAAAATGCTAAAAATTAGCGATGAGAAACTAATTCATCAATTTAAGCGAACTCATTAAATTTGCTTGGCAAAATTATAATTCAAACTAAAATGTATAATAAAGAGTGAGGCTAAATTGTTAAATTGACTTCATAAAGCTAATTTATTAAAGTTAAGAAAATGTATAAAAGGTAAAAAGAAACTAATTCATCAATTTAAGCTAACTCATTAAATTTGCTTGGCAAAATTATAATTCAAACTAAAATGTATAATAAAGAGTGAGGCTAAATTGTTAAATTAACTTCATAAAACTAATTTATTAAAGTTAAGAAAATGTATATAAGGTAAAAAGTAACACTACTGGGAATTGAACCTGCGACATTAACTACGAAATGATTAACATTTGTCCACTAGGATAGAGAAATGTTTGTGTTATTTTTGTACGCAATAGTTAGATAGAAAACGTTGTGTAAGACTTCTGTAATGATTTAGCTTTTTATGTAACACGCAGTTAGTACTCATTACGTAAAGTGACCTTCCAATACGTAAGACTTTCGTATTGAATTTTTACAACTGTTACGTAAAATAAACATCTATTACGTAATGGTTACGTAACAAAGTTATTTATTACGTAAGAGTTAAAATGGAAGCGTTACGTAAGGCTTCCGTAATGACTTAGCTCTTTACGTAACGCGAGGTTAATACTCATTACGTAAAGGAACCTTCAATTACGTAAGACTTCCATAACGACCTTTTACAACTGTTACGTAAAATACACTTCCATTACGTAAAGGTTACGAAATGATAGTTATTTCTTACGTAACAGTTAAAATGGAAGTGTTACGTAAGGCTTCCATAATGACTTAGCTCTTTACGTAACGCGACACCAATACTCATTACGTAAAGGGACCTTCCATTACGTAAGACTTCCGTAATGACCTTTTACAACTGTTACGTAAAATACACATCTATTACGTAAAGGTTACGGAATGATAGTTATTTCTTACGTAACAGTTAAAATGGAAGCGTTACGTAAGGCTTCCGTAATGACTTAGCTCTTTACGTAACGCGACACCAATACTCATTACGTAAAGGGACCTTCCATTACGTAAGGGTTACATACGACAGTTATTTCTTACGTAATAGTTTAATCAGCAGCATTACGTAAGGCTTCCGTAATGACTTTACACTTTACGTAATGCAAGGCTAGTATTCATTACGTAAAATAACCGTCTATTA